CATACTGACAATGTGCAATATTGGGGTAGGAGGAGGCATATGCAGTATGACTTAATCTCACAAGAGATTCCAATATGCTCTATGAATGCAAATTGAAAATCACTCTAAGTCTCACTGATACATGAATGAACAGTTAACTTAGCCTGGGGAGTTAACAGGCTCCACAAAGAAAGTGACATTTACCCTGGATCTGAGAAGGAAGAATAAATATTCATCAACTGGAGAAGTGAAAGAAGGGCATGTTAGACAAAGAGAATAGTATGTACAAAGGCAAATCTTACATCCCAAATGGATGTTTTTAAATCTCTTTTATTTCTCTACAACTGAACACACACCCTGACGTTCTTAATCTTGCTGACAAAGCTATAGCACTTTCAAGGAAATCTGTGGAATTACTTTACAGAGTCTAACGTTTGCAGAGAGATCATCCAAATAAATTATTATGATAATTATTTATATTTATTATAAGAATAATAAAACATTCTTATTTTCAGGAACTTACTTTAAACATTTCCATGTCATTTTCATCTAAGTCTCATTCTCCAGAGCAAGTTTAATGTGGACAACAGGATTTGGTGATTGTTTATTTGTCTCAATTGTCAAATAGTTTCAGTAGGTCTAAAATCATGTTGATTTTATGAAATTGAATCTAAGCCTGGTTTTACCATATGTGTTCATTAATCTCATATGAAAGGGCTGATATCAATCAAGATCTCGTACCTGATTCCCATATATACTGAACTTCTGGAATTCCCTTAAACAGACACATATATGCCCTCACACCTATACCCACAGTAAATTAAGTCGCTGAAGGAAATTAGTGTCCTATAATGCTTCTATATTTTTCTTTAATGGAGCAGGTAGAACACCTTTTCTCTACACATTATAGGATTAATATTTAAAAGCATCATCTTCAACTAAGTGCAAACCTTTGTCTGCCCTCAGGGAAAGACTAGCCAATGAGAGGTTATTCTGGTGATGTAATGCTTGTTACCTTGCTCTCTTTCAGACATGATTGGGGAAAATGCTTTTCAGAGCATCAAATATGAATAAAATGTAATTCTTTCTCACATGACTAATTTTAGCACATAAGCCACCTTCAGTATTTCATAAATGTGTTGCTTAGGATCGCCCTGAGATATTATGCAAAATCATTAGAGTAGAGAATTTTTGTTAAGCATTGACATCTGTATCCACTGGCACTTGCCAATAACTCCCCACATTTCTTGAGAGATCACTTACTTCTGTATCCTGATCCTTATGTAAATAGACAAAGAATATATTAACACTAGCCAGCAGCAGATAAGCTTATTATTTCTTTCTCAAACACAGATACTCATGAAAGTCAAATCAAAAGGAATAGAAACCTAATATGTGTTTTCTAAAGTCAGATTAATCACTCTGTCTCTCATGAGCATGTACAGGGTTTAATCTTCATATCCATATACTTTATTTCAAAAACAAAACAAAAAGATTAAAGCAAGTATTTGAATAACAAGGTGTGTTTACAATGATATTATAATCTTCTGCCTCGTGAATAATTTTCAGGTCTCTATTGATGCTACTAAATGTTTATTAATGTTCAGAGAAGCCCTAGCCCAGGTCAGGTGAAGACCTATTATGCCTTACATAGTCTAATTCTATGAAAACTGATAGGCAGGACACGGTGAATGTGTGTTGGTTTCCACCAGCAAAGTATGCAAAAATGCAGACACTGAGCTAAAAAAATTTCAGGCAGATATTATTTCATGCAGTATCTCATTCACATTCCCTCCTCCTCTACTCAAACCTCACTTTTTGAGCAAAAGAATGCAGTAGTAAGCATGTTGTCTGAAAAACATAATTGGGAGGAGGAAGATAATGATGCCTGAGCAGACCAGTGGTTTATCTGATCTGACACCAGGAATAAAGTGTCTCCAACTGCTAAGCCAGCTGTGTAATTTAAAGTGTAATATGTAGTTCAGAGATGATGAGCTATGGGAACTCATAGTCAAAATGTTGGAAAATTAATATATTAGAACCTTTTCCTCTTCATTTCTTTTTTCCAGAATATCCTGCTAACACTTTGAGAAAACTGAGTTAATTTCTGGCACTTGAGCCATTCTTTGGACTTTTCTACTTGTTCAGGTCATGATAATACAGTTGCATTGGAATGGGGTGAAAGTATGGAATTATAGAGTATTTCAAACCTGGCTGTGAATAATGTCTCTACCATATAGGAGAGTGATAAGTCACTGTAACTTCACTGAGCCACAGTTTCCTCATCTATTAAAAGGAAATAACTAAATATTAATTATTAAAACAATGTGTATAATTCTTGGCAAGTAATTAATAGGTACTCAATTGATAGTAGCTATTTTTTTTACTATTTTTTCATAGACAAATAATATCAAAGCCACTTTACCTTTCAAAGTTAGAAACCAAACTATATAAAAATAATTTTATACCCACAATAGATTTTCTGATATAACAAATTGTATGCCACTTTTAAATTTTGAAATAAATCATTTTGTTTTCCATTGAAGATTCAGTTTGCACTTGATTTTGACTTTCCCATATTATTTAGCAGAATTTTATTTTTATATATGAATATTTCAGAGTTAGTGCTTTACAAATATATGACTTTATGTTCTATTAGTATAAATGGTAGTAGTAGTATAAATAGTAGTAGTACGGTGAGGAGGAGGAGGAGGAGGAGTGGGAGGAGGAGGAGGAGGGGAAGGAGGGGGAGGAGGAGGAGGAGGAGGGGAAGGAGTATAAATGTTTCTTCTAAAGACCTGCCAAGTTTTAAAGGCATTGCTTCTCCAATGCTTGAGAAAAGGTCCTGGAAGGCATTTCTCAGGCCATTAAGTCAGCTTATTGAAAAGTAGGAAATGCAGTTTATCACCCTAAAGCAAAATGAGTAGCTCGAGTTTTTCAGTAAATTAGCTTAAACTAAATTGATATCGTTTACATCCAGTCAAAAGCACATTTCTGCAAATTGATTTTAGATTTTAAGTAAGGGCAATTTAAGTTCACTTTCTCAAAATCTGCTGAGTGCCTAAGCTGTGCACCTTCTAAGAATTAAAAACAACCACCACAGTGACTTGGCTTCTGCCTTCTAGATGCTGGTGTCTAGTTAAGGGAACAGACAGTGCACAGTGTATTAAGTTCCATAATGGAGGTAGGTATAAAATTATTGGAAATATAGATGGTGGGACTTTCGATTCAACACTGGAGGAATGAGTTTTTCAGGAAAATTATAGACAGGTGACATTTCATTGACTTTCAAGAAATAATGAGTTTCTTGTTTGGATAAGATGAAATAATGATCCGAGTAGAAGGAACAGTTAGAACAAAGGAAGAAAGGACTAAAAATTCATAGCTATTTGTTGAATGACTATTGACCCATTCTAATGTTTCTACAGAATAGAATGCATTAGATGTAAATGTGGCAATGGAAAGGTTGTGCTTTCTGTATAGAGAGGCTGTCTGGCAAACTGAAATATTACCTTCCAAATCACAGTATTCTTATCTTTTCTTTCTAACATGCCATCAGAAAATTCATAACACATGTTAACTATATATATTTGTGATATATTTAAGCTTACTGGACCTTTCTTCAAGTAAAGCAATATTATTCCTTTGCTTCTCCTCTAATTTAAAAAATTATTCCAATGTACTGTTCACTTCAAATAAAGTAAAGGTAAATTCCACAAATCATCTTTCAAAAGGACAACATAAGTTGTGCAAAAATAATTCTAAAGATATAGACAACATCTATTGATTTTGATTCATGCAGAAGCCTATATGAGCTAATTGTAAAAGGCGATACATCTAAATAGCATGTGGTTAATAATGTCAGATTATACATTAAAGAAATACTGTCTATGCTAACTTTTTACTAAAAGTTATTTAGAAAAACTTCATTGCTCTTATTTCACACGCACAGTAAACCACCATACCATCAAGTAAATGAATGCAGTAAGTCATTCACCTTTCATACTGTGGGTGTGAAAACATTCTTAAATAAAACTTGCTGAAAGTTATCTGCCATTTTCTTTAAGTATACAGATTCTCCATGACTTATGATGGGGTTACATCCCGGTAATCCTAAGTTGAAAATATCATTAGGTCAGAAATGCATTTAATACACCAAACATCATACCTTAGTCTAGGCTACCATAAACATGCTCAGAACACTTACATTAGCCTATATTTGGACAAATAATCTCATAATGCAGTACATTGTAGAGTATTGGTTGATCATGGTTGATCATTGGTTGATCTCATGGCTGACTGGGAGCTTTGGCTTATTCCCACTACTCAGCATCTTGAGAAGTATTGTATCACATATCACTACCTGGGAGAAAGGGCAAAATTCAAAATTTGAAGTATAATTCCCACTGAATCTGTATAGCTTTTGCACAGTTGAAAAATCAAAAAAATTTAAGTGAAACCATTGCAAGCTGGGGACCATCTGTATTCACTGAATAAGTTTCCATACCTCTGAAGAGGACTATGTATGTGTTCATAATTCAAGTATATTTAATGATACTTATTAGACTTGAATTGAAATGTATTCTCCACATATACATTGTGATATTGTTATAACCGGAATAATTCTACTTAATAAATGATATGTGCTGAACTTTCTATATTCTGTGTCCCTTTTGTGACTAGTATCATGTATTTTAGAATTAGTTAACTAGAATTACAGGTAACTGGGTCAATTATGGGTTTCATTATGTAAAACAAACTGAGCTGCATGGAGCTTGAACCTACAGTGTTGGTCCATTGTGGTCTTTCTGTCCGCCTTAGATACCATCCACAGAATTATTCATCTAAGTGAACGTGCTGTTTGTGTGTGTATGTTTGTCTGTTTATTACAGCCTACTTGAGTCTAAAAATTATTTGTATATATAATGAAGAAAGAACCACTATATTCAGCATGTTTAAAAATATTAAAATCTCAGATAATTTTAAAATAAAGAATATTGTTTGGTTTTTTTCCTTATCAGCTGTTAAGAAGAAAGCTGGCTTTATCACTCCAGTTCCAGGAGGTGTGGGACCCATGACAGTGGCAATGCTTCTGAAGAACACCCTTCTGGCAGCTAAACAAATCATTTACTAGATCACATGAAAGGATGAAGCAAACTGAAGTCATGCTATTTGTTTATTTGACAAAGGGTAAAACCTTTATATTTTACTACAAAGCTATTTATTTCTACATGGTATTTATTTTTTCATGGGTGAAATCATTGTGAATCAAATGATTAACATAATTTTAGGCATTTCCTGCTAATTTATTTTGAGTTTTAAGAAAACAACCAAAACAATTCCAATGAAAATTTTAGTAACAATTGTTTATTTTGAGGATATTTGTTCTTAACATTAAAACAATAAAGGGCTCATAATAAATAAATATATTTTTGACACAATTAAATATTACATATAATATGTTTTCAACAAATGTCCTGTCAGTGAAATGGGTACCCATATAAAATGTAATTTAGGTTTTGCTATTTGCATGCTCACATTTTCAGTATATTTTATGATCTATGTCATATGCTGAAAAAGAGCTTGCTTACTGCAAGAAAAATGGAATATTGTTGATCTCAACTATCCCCCAAATGCATCCTATAAGTCCATCCTAATGAGAAATGATGTTCTATTTAAGGAAAGGGAAATATTTCAGGAAGGCAAAAAATGCAATGCTATTTGGAAGGGTAATGATTTTATCACATTGTGAGTGACTACTAAGGGTAGTGATTATATCACATTGTGAATGACTACTTGCCACAGTAAAAATACATGAAGAATGTCTTAGGCTTAAATGTTGTTTCTTTCTTCTTCTAAAAAATATTTGGATAGTACCTTCACTAAGCAATAATGGAAAAATCAAAAAATAAGTAAACAGACAAAACTAAAGTTGTATTTTCCCACAAATATAGTATGAATTAGGTCATATTAAAGAACAGCAGCTGTTAATGTTTGTTCACAAATTCAGAAATCTAATAGTAAAACATGATACTTTCAATGTGCCAAAACTAAACCTTAGTATACAACTAAAAATCTCCTGCCTTCTTGCCTACGTGTCTTCCCTCTTCTGTTATAGCATTTGTTCCTCAAAGCAGACGCAACGTTTCTAACACAATTTAAATTAGGAAATATATATGAATGTCATTGAAGTCTATTTTGAGACTGCTAAAGCTGTTTAATTGATACTGTGTTTTCATGCCCAAATCCCAGTATGTTTATGTACCAATAATGACTCTTACCCAGCGCATGTCTTTATCAGTGTGTACTCGTGACTGTTTGTGTGAAAATAGACTAGATGTTTATAATTAATACCATTGCAACTGTATAATAAAAGCAATTTGAAGAAAAGCTATAGTCTTTTTTTCTTCAGATAGATATAAATTTCTTACCCATTTCCTTACTACATCCTGGAGAAATGTACAAGTTTCTAAAATGTGAAAGAAAAGGTTATATAGCATATTCCACAGTCAATCCAGACCAATTGTTGTCTGATAACCCTGACAGAAGTTTAAATTTAAAGCTTCCAAGCAAACATTCAGAAAGGGCTTCTTTAATTTTTAAGGGTTCCTAACTCCCAAAACAAAGTGACTAAAATACATGTATGTGGAAAATGTGAAGACTGTAATTTTGAGCTCTACCCCAGCAGAGGTGCAGGAATAGTTCCTTTGGAATAACATTCAGAATTTAGACTTCCTGTAAACTAATTAAAATGCTGTAGAAGAAAAATTACTCTGACACTTGTTTAAAACAGTCAAGAAGATGTGAAGACCATTGCAGTGGATGAAAGAGACCGAACTAATTCTGAATACAACATGGACAGCTAGGGATTTATAGCCAATGAGCAGAGCTAGGGGATTGGTGGATGGAAAATTACTAAGAGGAACTTCAGATATTCAGGGCAGGGGGATTCTCACTGAACTGGCTTGTCAGGATGCTTGGTAACAGCAGGCCAAATGCTTAGATATCAAGGGAAAGGGATCAGAAACTAGATAAAATAGCAAGGATGAGGGACTCTTTATAAACTGACTTAGCAGGATTCTTTGCTAAAACTGGGCTCGATGGGTCTAGATCAAGACCTGATCAGGGAGAGAGCTCAGAGGAACCTAAGGTTCGGTGACAGAGTCAACATATTACAGAAGTAAAGTCAATTTATTGGAACCATAACTTCATAGTTATTTGATGTCCTTAAAAGATAGACACGTCGGCCTTGTGGAGGAGCGTAGAGATTGTTTTCTTCTCCTACCACATCTGTATCTGTAAAATATCTGTAAAGAGCACCCTAAAGAACATAATAAAGTTACAGAAATTATTATGAGCTTAGCATATATGTATGAAAGCAAGAGTTGCAATTAGACAAAAATGAAAGGTTTGTTTTGGAGAGTGGTACAGCTGGATAAGTATGCAAAAATAAATTAGAGGAGAGGATAAATCAGAATTTGGCAGTATTCAGCAAGTTACGAGAATTGTAGTTAGAGATCAGAAGTTGTTATCATTGACTAACATGAGAAAATTGTGAAAGGGAGCTGACTTTGGAGTAGTGATAATATGTTCAGTTTAAAAATATGTTAAGTTTGAGGTGATGACATAATACATAGATAAGAATTCTGAAGTAATATCAGTCTAGCAAGAGGATAAGAATTCATAGTGATAAGAATTTAGGACTCGTCAGCATATACTGTCACACTAAATTCCTGGCCTTGGTAACCATTATACACACTCTGTGTCTTTCTACACTTACTCAGTAGTAACAACTATCCTTAACTGAGCACTTAGCATGTGCTAAATACTTTCCTCTTTTGTTCTTTTTTTTTTTTTTTTTTTTTTTGACAGGGTCTCGCTCTGTTTCTCAGGCTGGAGTACAGTGGTATGATCACTTCTTACTGCAGCCTCCACCTCTGAGGCTCAAGCAATCCTCCCACCTCAACCTCTGGAGTAGCTGGGACCGCAGGCGAGTGCCACCATGCCCAGCTAAGTTTTTAATTTTTTGTAGAAAGGGGTCTCACCGTGTTGCCTAAACTGGTCTCAAACTCTCAAACTCCTGGGATCAAGCGATTCTTCTGACTTGGCCTCCCAAAGTGCCTTTTTTTTTTTTTTTTTTTTTTTTTGTCTTTGCTCATTATTGACAATCTCCACTTAATAGATGAGAAAATTATTGACCCTCCTGATTATTAAAAAGCCTCAGCCAAGGCCAAATAGATAGAAAAGGTGGAATTTGAATTCACAACAAAATCTGTTGGGATGATGTGAGTCAGAAGCCACTCCTTTTACTACTCCACTCTGCCTTCCCTCAGATCCCATCCCCAACCCCAAGTCCTTTCTCTTATCACTGGGTGTCTAAATCCTACTTCTTATTTAAGATTCACTTCAAATGAAACTTGTCCATGAAAAATGCCATTCCTTAGTTCTCAGAGCCCTTTATGCACACATTCATGGCAGTTGTCACTCTCTACCCAGTACTGCAGTTATGTATGTACTTTGCCTCGATCCCTTTAGTTCCTTGAAGTCAAAATCTATGCATGATTTATCTATTTGTCTTACAAATATCATCTCACCCAGCCCGGTGCCATGGATATAGTAGTCATTCAATATTTTGTGAATGAATGCAACTGAATCCATGAAAGTGACAGAATAAACCTAGAGAGAGAATCAATGAACTGATCACCATTCTCTGCCAATGACCAGCAATAAATTTTGGTTGAGTTAGTGAAACAGCAAGGAAAAAAAGATAGAAAGGGGAGGGAAGAATAAACTTTCAGATATTCTCTCTTCTAAAATAAACTTCTAGAAGAAGAAAGATAAGGACATTTAAAAACCCGAGAACATGGCATGAGGGAAAAGTAATAGTGGAGCTCTTAGCCTCTCATTTCCATCTCCTTTCTCACCCTAACCTACTTTAATGCATATTAAGAATGAATAAAGATATCAGAAAAACCACCTTACAGTATCCATCTCCTGCATTCTTTAGGATTTGGAGAAAGAACTTTTGGGTGAGAGGTTTGAAGACGTGAAGGGAGTGGACTTTCCTGTAAAGACTGTAAGTGGGAGCCATGAGTACAGACCCCAGAGGAAAGGCAACATGTTTGATGACTTAGAGTTACTTTCTAGTATACACCATAAACTAAAGCAGAAGATGGGTTTCTATATTAAGTGGCCCCGTTTATCAGAGAGGCTGCAGTTCCATCTCTCAGCCCAGATGTGAGTGAAAATCACAGTTTATTAAATATTTAGTTTTTTTCTAATAAAGGTAATTTATTTAAAGCTTGATTTTAGGAGATAATTAAGGGAATTCTTTTGAGATCACTTCAACAACTCCAAGAGGACACAGATAGGGAAATGGAAACAGCATATGATTTAGAATGTGAAAATATAGAATTGAAGTCCTTTTGTTTGTTTGTTTGTTTTGTTTTGTTTGAGACAGGGTCTGTAGCACAGGCTGGGGTGACATGATATAATCATGGCTCATTGCAGCCTTGACCTCCCAGGCTCAAGTGATCCTCCTACTGAGCCTCTCAAGTAACTCAGACTACCATGCCCAGCTAATTTATTTTTTGTAGAGTCAGGGTCTTGCTCTGTTGCCCAGGCTGGTCTCAAACTCCTGGGCTCAAGCAATCCTCCTCCCTCAGCCTCTGAAAGTGCCGAGATTACAAGTATGAGCCACTGCACCTGGCCAGGATTGAAGTCCTGACTCTAGAAATGTCCTTTGGCACGTCACTTAATTCTTTTGAGCCTCAATTTGTCATTTGTCATGTGAGAATAGAAATAATGCCTGTTATTTATTTCCTTATTCTCTGAAGACAGATTCATTAAGTATTTACTAGATGTTAGGCACTGGATTTGTATGGGCCAGGGTTACTGAAGAAAGAATTGAGATGTGTAGGGAAACCTGTAAAGTGCAAAGGACTGCACCAGCTACAGTTAAGAGTTTTTACAAAGATAATCTTTGTACTTTGGTGTCTCAGTCTTAGAAATAAAGTATTTAATCCCAGCACTTTGGGAGACCAAGGTGGGTGGATCACAAGATCAAGAGATCGAGACCATCCTGGCTAACACGGTGAAACCCTGTCTCTACTAAAAATACAAAAAAATATCGGGGCATGGTGGTGGGCGCCTGTAGTCCCAGCTACTCAGGAGGCTGAAGCGGGAGAATGGCGTGAACTCGGCAGGCGGAGCTGGCAGTGAGCCGAGATCGCGCCACTGCACTCCAGACCGGGCAACAGAGTGAGACTCCATCTCAAAATAAAACAAATAAATAAATAAAAATAAAAAAGAAAGGAAAAAAAGAACTAAAGTTTTCAATATGAGTCCTAACATCTCCCTCCAGAAACTACAAAAAGAATTGTGATGGTTTATTTAATCTTTTGTAAATGATTTCTTCTTAAATACTCAGCAATGGTGCAAAGAAGATTGTTCAATTTATAATTCAAATGTTATTTGCCTGGGAAATATATTATCCAGAAATTGACTTAGTAATCAACAGGTTTTAAAAAACCTACAAAAGTAGAAACACAAAATGTAGACACATTTAAAGTGAGTCAAGTACTATTATATTATTTTAACTTTAAAATGATGACTCCTGTGGTAAGTGATTGCCTAAGTTATAATGAGTTCAACAAGTTTGTTCTTGTGTGATTTCTAATACCACGTTTATATTCGAATAGTGAAATGGCTCCTTTCTGGTAAATCTAATTTGCTGGGTGGACATGATGCAAAAGATAACCTATCTTGACTTGAATATGTTTTTAGGGTTTTGAGGTTTCAAGTTTCAAGAAAATACAAGCAATTGAAATTCCAGGCAGAAAGACTCAATGCCTCAGGAAGATATATTTATAAATTATTTATAGTAATTTGGGGCAAGTGAAAATTTCTGTAGTTGTAAAATATAGTAGCTGTAATGACATATTTTGGCCTTTAAAGTGCCACTTTAATAATTACAACTAGATGAACATTGAGAAATAATTTGAATGTCGTCTTAACTTGGAATCTTTCTATTCATTGGATGTATCCAAACTAAATGTCATCTTAATTTTCTCTTAATGGAGAATTTTAATATTATTATTATTGCTATTATCATTATGTTGGTACTTTACTGGTTCTCTGTAGCTTAATCATCGGGATGCAGATTTAAGCATTGTTGTTTCTGGAACATGGTAGCCCATTTCATTTACTCAGGAAAATGTTAAATAGCAGGATGACAGAAAGGTGAATGTTATACTATTACAAATAATTTTATTTACAGCACTTATCATAGTAAAACTAAGAAACAAACACTAAAATGGAATATGAAATGTCTGTGTTTTCACAAATTTAACTGTTATCTGCAACTAAATTAACAAGTTATCTTGATTTGAAATAGAACTCATAGTCTGTAATGAAAGGTGGTATAACCAACTACAGTTTCAGGGATATTTCTTTTAGAAACAGGTTATGCTGCTTCCTAATTTGCAGTTATGTTTGTTGAACTCCCGTATAGGTTTCTAGCCTTGTTGGAGCTGGTATAGTTCTCTTCACACCAATGGGAGCCTTTCCTGAAATCACATTTTGTTTTTGTTGTTTTAAGTACTTTTACATACATGATTATGCCCACAGGTAACAGGAAACCAATGTTTCAAAAGAAAAGTTGATTGCATTGCTAGATAATACAGGTATCCTAAACAAGTGCGTGAGCGCCCAGAGGCTTTCTGCTGCTGCCAGAAGTACATATTTTTTTGATTGGTAAGAACTGCCAGATGACGCTTCATGAAATATAAATGCCACAAAGACTCAGAGCTCAATAAAAACCTTCCACTCATCAGTCTAGAAGGATAAGAGAAGGAAAGTTAAGCAACTACAGGAAATGGCTTTGGAAGTTCCAATATCAGTCTATCTTTTATTCAACGGTAGGTAATTTCCTTTTGTTTTGTTAACTTTGTATCAGTGTAAAATGTGAATAGAATTTATTTTCTCTGCATTAGAGAGAAGTTGGCTTCTAATAATTGTTCTTTATGGCAAAGATCAGAGTAATGAATCTGTGGCTTAGTTTAGTTTCTTATGTCCTGTATGTTTCTTTCCTAATATATTTTGACACCTTTTTTGAGACCTCCAGAATGTTTGCTTTATACAATTGAAGAGTGATTGATACATTTAGTTATTATACTATAGTGTTCTTATTTTTGGATTAATATGTAAATGTATCAATGGTCTTAAAAATTGGGTTTTTATTTGCTCTAAGCCTAATATAGTCAATGGAATGGATGAGAAACTCTAAGGATGTTGCCCTAGTCACATTATGGATTTCAACTGAAATAAATAAATAAATAAAACATAGAAATAGGAATAAACAGAATAAGAATACTTTCCATCTGTTGCTTGTACATAGAAGGAGGCTTTCTGTTAAAGATGCTTTTGCCCCCTTAATACAGCAATGACAGCACTGACTGAAGAGGCAGCCGTGACTGTAACACCTCCAATCACAGCCCAGCAAGGTAACTGGACAGTTAACAAAACAGAAGGTATTTTCTTCCCATTTTCATATTTCACAAGACTTTTCTAAAACTTGGGAGAGAAATTTGGATTGTGATAAAAGCAACATTGACCATTTTTAATACATATTTTATGATTAGATAATCAACTCTTTTAGCAGGATGCTATTAAATTGAAGTGACAGATAAATGTGCCAGCAAATAATTGCCCTTTTAAAAGGAGGAAGTGAAGCAAATGAGACAAAAGCTGTCTTCAGTTACTGTCTTGAATGTGAAACAGGCCACATTTTCTGCTTCATTTCTGCTTGGTTCCCAATAACCCCTGTGTGTTCAGAGACAGTTTGTCCCCATTTTGGCATTCTTGATGAGCAACATTATATTTTGATCTGTGATTATAAGCTTTGCTGCCAAAGACATTATGGCTACAAGATGAAAAGCACTTTCCCTCATCTTTGGAATGATCTTTTTTCTCGTTTGCTTTGGGGTTTTTGTTGTTATTTTAGCATATGCTCTATTTCCTAAACACTTGTACCCAATTTTTGTTATTGATGGTGATGATATATTTTATTTTATATTTAATTATTATCACAGTGGCTTCTGGATGCTCTTGAGCATCAGCGTTCTTTCTCAAATCTGTTTAAACTCTTAGAGGTGAAACTTGGAAAGCTTGCTCCTTACCAAGACCTGTGACTGAGTGGTTATGATTCTTTCGCAAATTGCATCCTGATTGTTATGTGAAGGCTGGCAATGTGATTTAGGACAGAGGAAACAATATCTTGTACTCAGAGTCAGGCAAATAAAGGAAGATTGTCATATCTCAGTGTTCTTCATTTCCTCTATAATTTAAAATTTTAAATGACTGTCTCAAAATATTTTACCCATTTGATTTTTTGAATATCTATTGATTTGCAAAATGAGATCAATGTGAGTTTTAGAATAACTTTTAGCCAACTATTTGTCTTCTAAGCCTTTGAACAAAGAGGAAACACCTTATTAGAATATAATATACTGGCCTGGCGCAGTGGCTCATGCCTGTAATCCCAGCACTTTGGGAGGCTGAGGCGGGCAGATCACCTGATGTCAGGGGTTTGAGACCAGCCTGGCCAACATGGTGAAACCCCGTCTCTACTAAAAATACAAAAATTAGCGGGGCATGGTGGCACATGCCTGTAATCCCAGCTACTCAGGAGGCTGATGAAGGAGAATTGCTTGAACCCAGGACGGGGAGGCTGCAGTGAGCTGAGATGGGGCCATTGCACTCCAGCCTGGGTGACAGAGTGAGAATCCGTCTAAAATAAAATAAAATAAAATAAAAAAAGAAAAAAGAATATAATATACTGCAGAAAATTAAAGAAGCATAGTTTTCTCTCAATGACTGACTTTGTAATAGCATGCTCAGTACTATATTTTTGTTCTTCCTTAATGGTGAAGAGCAAATAAAATTTTTTGAGTTACAAGTAATAATAACAGTAAAAAGGAATCCAATACAGTCATCCTTCATAATTGGTTCAACATTAATTCCAAGACCTCTTCCTCCTGCCCAGAGGGTACCAAAATCCACAGATGCTCAAATCCCTTATATAAAACAGCAAAATATTTGCATATAACCTATAGACACACACCCATGTACTTTAAATCATCCCTTGATTAGTTATGCCTAAAACATTGTAAACACTATATAAATAGTTGTTATACCGCATTGTTTAGGGAATAATGACAAGAAAAGAAGTCTGTACATGTTATGTACAGATGCTTTTTTTTCCAAATATTTTCCATATGAGGTTGGTTGAATTCACAGATGTGGATCCTATGAATATGGAGGTACAACTATATATCATTTCTGTATTTTTCCTTTACTTTCTTGATGGAGAACTTTAATTTTTCCTTTTGCTTTTTATCTAACTTAAAAATATCAATCTAGTATCTTAGAAAACTTTTTATAAAGTTATGATCATTCTCATTCTTAGGGGAAAGATGAGTCTCTCTGGTATAACTTTTCTTCAGAAATGGCTTAATTCTCACATTTTTCTGCGAAATCTAGTTTCAGGCTTAGTTAATCAAACTTGTTTAGTCTTGAGATAGAAAGCACCCAGCACAGTTTATAATGGAAAATTCTCACTGCCTGAGAATTAATTATTAAAATGATAAATTGTATTCATCCTATTCAACAAAATGAATGTGAATTAGAAGGTAATATGTGTTCTCACCAAAATAAAGTAATACAGCATAGTATCTTGTTTGTAATCTTAACGTCGAAAGATTTAGAATTTTTAATATAAAAAAGAATGCCTCTTAAAACTGTTTTTTCCCTAAAAACAAATAAGATTCACTTAATCTTAGCAAGGCATATATGGTGTACCTTTATCATAATGATGAGGAAATATGTTTATTTCTAAAAATGACAAGTAAACTGCCATTGATTCTGCTTGAGAAAAATTTAAGAATCAAAAAGTATACCCCAAAGGACTCAATTATGCAATTTTACCCAAGGGTCATTCCCACTGCATAAACACCAAGAATGGCATAGGTATATCTTTTGTACATCAGAGAATCAGGAATAAGAATCTTGTTTATTATCTCACAAGTGTAAATTCAAATCTTCCCAAGTGCTGACTTCTCAGGTGTAAAGGAAGAAAATGGAAATATTATGTGAGACCTTCTGTATTAATTAGTACTCAGGCACAAGTCTGGGAAGCATTGCTCATAATAACTTGCTAAGACTAGAACCAATGCTGCCACCTTTTGGTGAATTTGTTGCCTTTTCTGTCTTACTACGTTGCTTTAAAAAATGAAACAATCATCAATCCACCTCCATCCCCCAATTAATTAATAATATGTCATATGTCTAGATGATAATAACCCAGCCCTTGTGAATACAATCTGCTAAGAGAATCAATAGTTTAAAGGACACAGCACCACCCCCAAATATCCTTAAAATTAAAAATTTATTTACATATGTATTAAAAATTTACCATAAAAGTAAGACACATTTCATTTGCTAATATTGTATCTCCTTTTCCTAGCTGACAACGTAGAAGGACCCATAGCCTTGAAGTTCTCACACCTTTGCCTGGAAGATCATAACAGTTACTGCATCAATGGTGCTTGTGCATTCCACCATGAGCTAGAGAAAGCCATCTGCAGGTAAACGCAAAGAAATTTCCAAGTCCTAGAGACAGGAGATGAGTTTATGCCTCTGTTGTTTCATATAGTACATTTCCACACTTTTCTCTCTTTAGTTTAAAAGGGTGCATAATCTGAACATGACTTGACAGGCCTCTACATATTTGAATATCTAAGGAGTCTTTTGTCTAAACTATTTAATACTCATTAATTAAAAACATGGTTGCCAGATGAGCAGCATCTCTTGAACCTGGTGCTTTTTAGAAATGCAGGATCTATGCTCTACCCCAGAACTACTGAATCAGAATCTGCATTTTTAACAACATGCAAAGGTGATTTTAAGTTTTGGGGTTGTTTTCAGGATGAAATGAAGGAAACTAAGGCAAAAACATTACAGGAATATGAAGTTCTAGAGCAACTAAGACACTACTTTTATGATCATGATTTGCTCAGTATTCTCCTATGGAAGAATAGACTAATGATTTTGCTAGAGTAAATTATGCAAGCATACTACCTTTTCCCTCTACTAATGAAGGGAAAATATGGGACCTTCATGATTATTGGAAAATTCACAGCTGCTTCATTGCCCTTAACAGATTGACTTTCATTTGGTATTTGCCTCTTCAATTTAAATTCCTTATTTCCATTTATTTTTTTAAATTTTTTGAAACAGGTTATTTATTTGTATTTCTACCACCATAGGTTTTAAAATTAAACTTTTTTTCTTTTTTTAAAGGTGTTTTACTGGTTATACTGGAGAAAGGTGTGAGCACTTGACTTTAACTTCATATGCTGTGGATTCTTATGAAAAATACATTGCAATTGGGATTGGTGTTGGATTACTATTAAGTGGTTTTCTTGTTATTTTTTACTGCTATATAAGAAAAAGGTATGAAAAAGACAAAATATGAAGTCATTTCATATGCATTCGTTTGACAAATATTTATTCAGCCTCTATAATGTGCCAGGAATTGACATGTAAAATTTTTTTACTTAAAAAAGAGCTGTAAATCTGGCAAAAAGTTTCTATGTAATATTTTTCATGCCTTTTCTCATAAACCCAGATGAGTGGTAAAAATTTGCTTCAGTTGTAATAGGAGAGTTTACAAGTACAGTCTCCCTTCATCCTATCTCTGTCTGCCCACATTAAAATTATAAATGACAAGGACAGCAGGCCCCAAGAAAGTAGGGACTAAGTATATCTTGTTCAAAATTGTGTATTCAGTGCCTTACACTATGCCTAGCACACAACACACACTGAGTAAATATTTGTTGAGTGAAATAAAATCAAGAAACAAGTAAAAACTGAAAAAAAATGTGTGACAAACACTGGCCATTTCTTCCCAGACATCAACTGGGGGTATCTTCAGAAGATACTGTCTTTTGCTAAAAACCTAAGAAGATAATCTACAAATAATTGTAATTATTTACATATTCGTTCTTAATTCTTGTTTTTTTCCACATGAGTAATTTTTCCTTAAATCCGTGTAACTAGGATAAAGTCAAGAAATAAAGTGAGACACCCTAACAAAAAAATACAAATACATAATTTCCCTTGCTGTACTCTAAAAAGTTGTCATTTCTGAATGACCAAAACTGCCTGTTCAAAATTAGAAAAGTTTATTTTGCTTAACAAATACATCTTAGAGAGAATCAAATCTGTATTATATCAGTTGTAGATTTGCCTAACAGACCAAGAAATGTAATAATAAGGAGGAGGAGGAGAAGGAGGAGGAGGAGGAGGAGGAAAGACTTTTCCACATTACTAAGGTGGCTCTCTGAGGTCAGATTTCCTAGGAGCAGAGCCTTCAGATGGAAATTGCTGTGCATATGATTTGTTGAGGGAGTACTCTACCTTTATTTTAGGTGAAACCCGTAATAAAGTAAGGAAAGCAGATGGAGCACAAGAAGAAGCTAAGCAAAGATGTGGCTTTAACTGAAGTGTAGCCCCAGTCTGATTCCACAGGGAGATCTAGAATGTGAATAGCAGTGTAGACTTCTCGCAAGGAGAAGAGGCATCCGGATTTCAATATCCCATATTATTCAATCATGGATTCATGTGGGGTAAGGAACAGGGGCTTGTAATCTCCCAGCAATCTCCTGCCAGGGCACTCAGTTGGCCATGGGCAGACCCTGGGAGAAGACTGCTGCCAGTGAGGCTGTTAATGCCCACAGCTGCTGAGGGATGGGTTGACCAATGGGTAAAGGCGATCTGGGAGGGACACCAAGAGCAACTGCTGCAGGGTGCATTTATGTAAGCTTCAATGACCTATATGAACCATAGTCAAATTCATATGGAAACCAATGCTCCGTTTCAGGTGTCTAAAATTGAAATCACCTTACAATGTCTGTTCTGGAGAAAGACGACCGCTGTGAGGCCTTTGTAAAGAATTTTCATCAAGGCATCTGTAGAGATCAGTGAGCTCAAAATTGAAGTTTTCACATGAAACAACAAAACTTGTCAAGCTGACTAGACTCGAAAGTAATGAAAGTTGGGATCACGATGAAATGAGAAGATAAACTTCAGCGTTGGCCTTTAGACTTTGCCATCCTTAAGGAGTGATGGAAGCCAAGTGAACAAGCTGCAGTGACAGAAGTCAAGTTCATAGTTTCACTCTGGGTTTTTGTTGTTGTGTGGTTATTATTCTCACTACAGAAAGACTGAGTTTCATGCCCCTGGCTGTGTCAGATGTGAATTTTCATGGGAATAATAATCAACTTTGCAGCAAGCCAAAGCAATGCCTTGCTTGGGTTCTTCATGTTCTTACTACCCAGCATTTTTTACCACCTAGATGGACCTAATTCTATTTGCTCAATGAACCGTATCCCAAACTTGTTGTTTTCATGGTGTCTAAAAGAATGTGATGTCAGCTTTTAGAATGAAATCAGTGTTAAGGTACCTCCAGTGAACCAAATATGTGTCTTAAATCTAAGCAACTGAAAACAGAATGGAAAGTCCAAGGCAAATACAAATCATACACAGCTTGTAACAACATACAGCCTTTATATGTTAAATATGGAATAAACTAGAGTTTCTGAAGACTGAAGCTATCTGGATATCAAGTCTGGAGTAGGCAAAGCATTTCCATTTCTACATGGATTATAAAATTTTGTGTTGGATTCACTGGTCCCTAATGCTTTTGTTCATCACTTCCTCCAGTTATCAGTGGAATTACCCATTGATCATTCATTTGGACCGAGATCCTAGAACTCTCCTACTGAATAAAAGTCTACAATTGGCCCTAAAATAGAAACTGAAAACCGGATATAGAATTTTTTCACCAGACCACAGCATGTGGAAACTTTCTTTATAATTTTTGAACACTTGTTAACAGATTTGCACATAAGAGGGAGAGGAAAAAAAAATGGAGTAACAGTCAAAATAATAAGAATCAGTATCCAGGCCAAGCGCGGTGGTTCACACCTGTAATCCCAGCACTTTCGGAGGCTGAGGCAGATGGATCACCTGAGGTCAAGAGTTTGAGACGAGCCTGGCTGGTAAAACTCCATCTCTACTAAAAATACAAAAATTAGCTGGGCGTGGTGGCGCATGCCTGTAATCCCAGCTACTCTGGAGGCTAACACAAGAGAATCGCTTGAACCTGGGAGGCAGAGGTTGTAGTAAGCCAAGATGGCCACCCTGCGCTCCAACCTGGGCGACAAGAACGAAACTCCATCTGGAAAAAAAAAAAATCAGTATCCTTCCTCTTAGTTATATTTCTACCACTTAATTCAAACAGTCATATGCAGGTTGCTTAATTTATTTGGGCTTTGGTTTCATTTTCTACAAGGCCCTGGTAGCTCTAAAACTTGATAGTGGAATAAGGAAATGTTTTTCCAAATGTGCATTGCCGGTGAGATCCTCAACATCAGCATGTTGAGATGAACCTCAACCCCACTCTAACCCTGAAACACATCACTCGATATTATCTAAGGTGTATATTTTAGTGTTTAGTTTGTGAAATAATTTATTTTTGAAGGAAATATAAAATATTAAAGAGTAATAATAGCTATCATTTTTTAAGATTCAATCTAAAACAATAGACTCTTTTTTTTTTTCCATTTGTGATGTAGATAAGCAAGACAATTTTGATCATGAGTGGTAAAAAGAGGATCAAACTTGACTATTCTTGCAATGGCAGTCCAGCAACAAGCCTTTCATTTACATTAAATTATAACTTTTCATTCATTCCTAAACCAAACTTAAAATTCTGCTTCCCTTTCTGTAGAAGGTATTTAACTTGTTTTGTTTTCTCTTCAGAAGGAATTTAATGCAAATGGACTGCAGTCAGCACTTTCTGAATGTTTTCACACAGTATGCAAAGCTTACATCATACCAAGGAGTGGAGAATTGAAGTTTCCTCCCAATGACTCCAGTGACAGACCACACCTAGAAAGCAATTCTCTTCCTGAGTATTTCAAAAAGATGTAAAATAGCTGGGGAGAGTATGGGAAGAAATAATACAGGATTGCCTTTAATTAATTAAGAACTGCCTCCTGATAAAAGGAGAAAGAAATTAATGCTGGAGTCTGGAGGGGTGATAACTTTAAAGATTATAAATACTTGTTGTCTGTAAATACTTATAAATTACAAACACAATATAATTAAAATTAGAACATCAGGAAGATAATTAAAATCCTCAGATTGCAAAACCAAAATGTTAACCAAAACAAATAGAGATTCAACTTTTTTCACCTATAGAATAGTACTTACTAACAACATAAAATCTACCTGTGAGATTGTGTAGAAACTCAGAGTGTGGCTTATGATAACCGTCTGTTTATGATATTTCATATAAAACAATCTTGTGATCCTGTAGTTCCTAGCATTAATTTTGTAGGAAGGCATTTCTGACATTCCTATGGAGCTAGAGCCACATCTGGCAATATTTAAGTACCTAAGCAGAACTTAAGTGGGAAAATGCATAAGTATAAGATATTTGGAAATTGTTTCATTTTTTTTCTATATGCAAGAAGACCCTAAAAAGAGCCTTTCAGTAAAGTTTGTGCTTCAGAACTACACTTTCAGCTATCAATCAATGTATCATTAATTGGGGGTGGATTATTTAGGAAACAAATGCCAACATGTTTCTGGCATCTTTAACTACATTACACTAGCCAAGAGGTTCATCAATTTCTTTCATTCCCCATTTTGTCTCTTCCCTTTGTCTATCCTTCAATTATTTGAGAACACATTCTTAAGTCATCAATATTCATGAGTGCTTTATTATTTAGCATTTCAGAGTATAATGAGGACGGGGCACAGAAAATAATCTCAGCCATCCTGGAGTCAGTAAATTTGCAAAAAAAGTAATTGCAAATGCTTGTCATTATATTCTTATATTCATTATATTATATTTCCCAAGGTAACTTTTCGTATAGTTGTGTTTTCATAAAGTTTGAAAAGGATGAAATTATAACATAGTTCATCTTTTAGTCTTTCCTGGCACAATACGAATCTAATCCTTTAATTTTAACATGTTCATTTTGGTAATGTCAAGATTTCCATTCATTATATTTAATTGAGAAAAAAGTCATAAGAAAATAACAAACATCAGCAATTTAAGCTTTTGATTTAAACATGAAGACGATTCATCTATGCAGAGGACCATAAGGAAGCCATTTAATGTCTCTGCATTACAAAATGTAACATGCTTTCTCTGAAGTGATATACATATTGATATCCTGCAACCCACACTCATGGGAAGGGTTACCAAAATCCCTCTATTGCAAAACATCACTCTTTCTCGCTTACATCATGGCTGCATGACATCAGGACATGAGCAGCTGCCAAGATGAACTATAAATGTTGAAACTTAATTTACCAATGTCTAGCACTGCTAATCTGGGTTAGCCCACATTTTCGTCCAAACCTTTGGCTCAGACTTATTCAGTAGCACATTCACAAATGTCTTTTCTAAATTCTGAATTTTTATTAAGTATTCAATTTTTATTAATTATTTAATCCATCAATGCCCAGTTCAAAGTATAAGAGCTTAAACAGTTAATTTTCTAAGAATTGTAAGGCTAGGCCCCTTAAGAATATCCATGTGAATACATGCATCCCATCATTATATTTTACTTCTCTTCCAAAACTAAACATGATGGATGTTCCAGATTGTCGGCAACACCCACAGCTTCCAAAGAAACATCTCATAAAGATGAGAAATGTGATTATATGTTTAAGTTCTTTGTAAGTCCTAGATATTAGCCCTTTGTCAGATGAGTAGATTGTAAAAATTTTCTCCCATTCTGTAGGTTGCCTGTTCCCTCTGATGGTATTTCCTTTGCTGTGCAGAAGCTCTTTAGTTTAATTAGATCCCATTTGTCAGTTTTGGCTTTTGTTGCCATTGCTTTTGGTGTTTTAGTCGTGAAGTCCTTGCCCATGCCTGTGGCCTGAATCGTATTGCCTAGTTTTCTTCTGGGATTTTTACAGTTTTAGGTCTAACATTTAAGTCTTTAATCCATCTTGAATTAATTTTTGTATAAGGTGTAAGGGAGGGATCCAGTTTCAGCTTTCTACATATGGCTAGCCAGTTTTCCCAGCACCATTTATTAAATAAGGACTCCTTTCCCCATTTCTTGTTTTTGTTAGGTTTGTCAAAGATCAGATGGTTGTAGATGTGTGGTATTATTTCCAAAGGCTCTGTTCTGTTCCATTGGTCTATATCTCTGTTTTGGTACCAGTACCATGCAGTTTTGGTTACTGTACCCTCGTAGTATAGTTTGAAGTCAGGTAGCGTGATACCTCCAGCTTTGTTCTTTTGGCTTAGGATTGTCTTGGCAATGTGGGCTCTTTTTTGGTTCCATATGAACTTTAAAGCAGTTTTTTTTCCCAATTCTGTGAAGAAAGTCATTGGTAGCTTGATGGAGATGGCATTGAAACTATAAATTACCTTGGCAATATGGCCATTTTCACTATATTGATTCTTCCTATCCATGAGCATGGACCCCATCAAAAAGTGGGCAAAGGATATGAACAGACACTTATCAAAAGAAGGCATTTATGCAGCCAACAGACACATGAAAAAATGCTCATCATCACTGACCATCAGAGAAATGCAAATCAAAATCACAATGAGATACCATCTCACACCATTTAGAATAGTGATCATTAAAAAGTCAGGAAACAACAAGTGCTGGAGAGGATGTGGAGAAATAGGAACACTTTTACACTGTTGGTAGGACTGTAAACTAGTTCAACCATTGTGGAAGACAGTGTGGTGATTCTTCAAGGATCTAGAACTAGAAATACCATTTGACCCAGCCATCCCATTACTGGGTATATACCCAAAGGATTATAAATCATGCTGCTATAAAGATACATGCACACGTATGTTTATTGTGGCACTATTCACAATAGCAAAGACTTGGAACCAACCCAAATGTCCATCAATGATAGACTGGATTAAGAAAATGTGGCACATATACACCATGGAATACTATGCAGCCATAAAAAAGGACGAGTTCATGTCCTTTGCAGGAACATGGATGAAGCTGGAAACCATCATCTGAGCAAACTATTCCAAGGACAGAAAACCAACACTGCATGTTCTCACTCATAGGTGGGAATTGAACAATGAGAACACTTGGACACAGGGTGGGGAACATCACACACTGGGGCCTGTCATGGGATGGGGGTAGGAGGGAGGGATAGCATTAGGAGATATACCTAATGTAAATGACAAGTTAATGGGTGTAGCACACCAACATGGCACATGTATACATATGTAACAAACCTGCACGTTGTGCACATGTACCCTAGAACTTAAAGTATGATTAAAAAAAAAAAAGAAAGAAATGTGATTATATGGTAATAAGGAGAGCTGAATTGTTCAGTCAGTCTTAAACTAAACACCTCATGGTCTTTCTTTGTCATTTTTATGTCTCAGATATTATTGGGGCATAAGTTATCTAGATTAAAATTTGGTTAAGTTCACAGTCAACCAGCTGTCAAACTAGCCGTATTACTGATCTTTAAGAGGGTAATTTTTTTTTTTTTGAGATGGAGTCTGTCTCATTCTGTCACCAGGCTGGAGTGCAGTAGCGCAATCTCGGCTCACTACAACCTCCACCTCCCGGGTTCAAGCGATTCTCCTGCCTCAGCCTCCCAAGTAGCTGGGACTACAGGCGTGTGCCACCACGCCCAGCTAATTTTTGTACTTATAGCAGAGACAGGGTTTCACCATGTTGGCCGGGATGGTCTCGATCTCTTGACCTTGTGATCCGCCCACCTCAGCCTCCCAAAGTGCTGGATTACAGGCTTGAGCCACCATGCCTGGCCACAAAATAATAATAATATTTGTCATGGATCAACCACAAAATTCCCCTGCTGTCATCTGCAAATTATTAAGATATGTATAACACCCTCAGGGTGGGGTCAGATCAATGTCAAGTGCCTGCTCACAGTTGAGTGCACAGTCTGGGGAGAGACTGTATACTGTAAAGGAACTCTGGCTTATCCTATGACTCAAGGAATGTGGAGTATTCTCTTAGAGAACTCTCTTGGAATATTGGGAATAGTCTACTCTAGCTTGTAGTCAGTATTCCTAGAGAACATTGGAAATATTCTAATCTAGCGTGTAACCGTTGACTATAGGCTATTTCCCAATACTTCTTAGCTTTATTGAGACATATCTGACTCAGGTTGTTTTTGAGATGAGGAGTGAGGAATGCAAGTGGTTTTCATGTCTACAGTAAAATCTCATCAACCCCCTTCTCTCCACATTATCCTCAATCCTACCTCAGCCCCACATGCACCTTACAGAAAAGCAGTACGTAGTGGTCCAGTAAGTAATGGTTCAGCTGAGGAAAAAAATTGCAAGATAACATTTTACAAAATGTGTGCAATAGTTTGGCACTAAAATGACCTGTGTTCTAGTTCAGCTGTGTGATTTGAACTTTACTAGGACTCTTTGGATATGATATCGTTGCCTGTTAAGTGGAGAAGTTAGACTCTGAAGATGACCTCCACATTCCCTTCCTGGTTGGAAGTTGTACATTGGAAATGTGACACCTATAAGTAGATCCAGTCCACAGACATATTCCCTTTAGCTTTCATGGTGTTTGTTTTAAATCAAGCCCATGTTTAAAAACCAAGCTGTTTTATTACTTTAAAAAATCTAGCTTCTTTTGAAAAATAAAAAATAGAGAGCTCTGGTCCTATTTTCTGTGTGCCAGCACTCTATAACTTTTGTAACTTTGGTTAGAAGGAGCATGACCCAATACCCAACTGCTGCTGATGCTTAGGCTGCCAGTCCAGGGTCCTATGGGCCTTTAAGTCTGCAAACTTGTTTCTTTGGTTTAATTTTCATCTTTCCTCATCTAAATTCTCCTGAGTCTAATCATTAAGATGACTGTAGAGGGCCCCATTGTACTGCAAACCTCATAAACCATAAAGGAGTCTCAGATCAAAGAGTTGCCCAGGAATGTGCTTATTAGGAAAACCCACACTCACCTGGAAACTGGCAGGGGTGGCATCTGGTGACTCAGGCACTGCCCCGCCCACACCTTCAGTCACTCTCTGCTATAATCCTTGTCAGATCTGTCTTTTCAGTGCACAGGCTTGCTTATGTTGCCTCCCAGCTCAAGAACTGACACCGACTCGCCATTGTGCACCATGTCTAGTAAGGACTGCTCAGCCTGCAGTGTGAAGCCCTCTCCAGGCAGGCTCGGATGGTCTGTCTTTCTCATCCCCCCTCGCCCTATGCATATCATCAGCTGTGGCCTACCGCTGCTCTAGGCTCTGCAAATGAACCACACAATCCATCTCTGTGTTTTACGGTCTCTACTGTTCCTGCCACATGTATTATCCTCCCTCACCTCTGTCTGCCAAGATCATATTTTTTTTTCAAATGCGGCCCCCTCCTTAAAGAATGGTGTTATTTACATTTGCCATTTCTCCTTCTTTTGAATTTCCTTGATATCTTTCTCTTTTTTTTTTTTTTTTTTTTTTGTACTTCTCAAATACTTACATTCTGCCTTGTATTATAATTACTTATGTTCTCGGCTAAGTTCCA